CTGCACCAGCTCTTGCCGCCGGGCCGTGGTTTGGGACTGGGCGGTGGTGCTGCTGCAGGTACGCGGGGGGGGGGGGAGGCTTTTGAGGGCTTAGGGTTTAGGGTTTAGGTTTTAGGGTGTGTCGTGTGAGGTCGCGCGCTCGGGCGGTAATAATAAGCGCCCCCAAGCTGCGCTCTGCAACCCCGCCCGACCACCCCCCAATCATTCTCAAGTGGGGCTCAGGGATTTAGGGTTTGGGGTTTAGGGTTTAGAGTTTAGGGTTTAGGGTTTAGGGTTTAGGGTTTGAGTGAAAGCCCCTGGTGTGTTCAGGTGCAGCCCGTGAGAGCCCACGGACCCCTGAAAAGACTTGGCCTCAAGCCCTCTCAGGGGCCCTAAACCCTGAATTCTAAACCCTAAACCCTAAACCCTAAACCCTAAACCCTAAACCCTAAACCCTAAACCCTAAACCCTGTACCCTTTAAAATGGCGGGCAAGGCAGGCGAACCCGTTTTTTTTTGGGGCTTGGAAGATCTTCGAGAGCGACTTCGAGAGTGATCGGTAGCTACAGCCCCAATGAGAAGTGCGCTGCTAACCTACACCTGCTTCGAGGATTTAGGGTTTAGGGTTTAGGGAATGCCTGAGAGAGAGAGAGAGAGAGAGAGAGAGAGACAGAGGGTTTAGTGTTTAGGGTTTAGGGTTTAGGAGGATTTAGGGGGGCTTTTCGGTGCAGTTATCGTTGGGTTTACAAGCACCTCGAACCTCGAAGCTCCAAAAAATGGCTTCGGAGGACCATGCCACGCATGCCCTGGAGCCGGAAGTCTCGGCGAGATGCACCCCAATCCTGGCATGTGGCAGCGCGCGCGAGACTCGACTCCTCACAGCAGAATCCTGGGTTTCTTTCTCGATGTCGGGTGGCGGTTCCCTGAATCCGAACCCTAAACCCTCAACCCCAAACCCCAAACCCCAAACCCCAACCCCAAACCCTAAACCCTAAACCCTAAACCCTAAACCCTAAACCCTAAACCCTAAACCCTAAACCCTAAACCCTAAACCCTAAACCCTAAACCCTAAACCCAAACCCTAAACCCTACGCCCAAAACCCAAAACCCGAATCCCATCTGGGCAATGGCAGGAGTGGGAGGGTGCCTTGTGGCTCATTGAGGAGATGCGGGAGGCCAGCTCAGCTTGCGCCAAAAGCGAAGCCCCAGCTCTGACACGTGGAGGGTTTAGGGTTTAGGGTTTAGGGTTTAGGGTTTAGGGTTTAGGGTTTAGGGTGTAGCCTCGTCTTGTCGGCCCTTGTTGGCGAACGCTATGGACTTGCCTTGAAACATATGCCTATATAAGGAGCGCAGGTTTGGCGTCGGCTTTGGGGTTTCCGGTTGCCGCGGTTTTGGGGTCGCGTCTTCTTAGGCTAAAAGAACCTCCCCCCCCCCCAAAAAAAAACCAAAAAAAGGAACACACACACACACACAAGAAAGGCTTTGGGGTCAAAAGGGTGTAGAGCTTCAAAGCCGCACCATGGTGCAGAGAGCCAGAGCCCTGCAACCCCGCCCCAGCAACACGGCCGGGAGTACTTGCAGGCTCATGGTACTCATTAACCAATAGGTTTAGGGTTTAGGGTTTAGGGTTGGGGTTTAGGGTTGGGTTTAGGGTTTAGGGGTACTTACTAACAAACTCTGACTGTACATACAACCCCTTACAAGCCCCTTAAGTGCCCCAATATGGTCATAAGTACAGTTATAAGTACGGTTGCAATGGGTTATTGAGTACCATGGACCTCCAAGCAAGGACCCTAAACCCTCACCCTAAACCCTAAACCCTAAACCCCAAACCCTAGACCCTAAACCCTACACCGTAAACCCTAAACCCTAAACCCGATGAATAAGTACCACGAACCTCCAAATAGGCACGCGTTGAGCCGGACGACATACTGTACAAGGAGCTGGAAGTCGGTGTTGCGGGGGTTAGGAGGGGGAGGGATGGGTTTAGGGTTTAGGGTTTAGGTTGGGGGTTTGGGGTTTAGGGTTTAGGGTTTAGGGTTTAGGGTTTGCCGGCAGCCTCCAAAGTCCGTTGCTCAAAAAGGGTTTAGGGTTCAGGGTTCAGGGTTCAGGGTTTTGGCGAGAAGGGTTCGGGTTCAGGGTTGGAAACGCGGAGAGCGCTATGGAGCCAGAGGCGTGTAAGCGAGGAGGGTGTAAGTGCCCATATCTCTTCCCCAAACCAAAAACAAGGCCTTGAGTAGCCCAAGCAATAGCACCCTTACACCCCACCCCTCCTTCTCTCACACCCCTCCTGGTTCCTTAGACACTTGGGGAATAAAATAGTTTTGAGTATTATAATTCCTAAGAAACAGATAAACACATTTTTTGGCAGGGTTCCAGGTTCAGTATAGGCTCTTTGTGAGCAGCAAGGGGTGCACGCAGGGGTACGTTCTCCGGTAACCCTAAACCCTAAACCCTAAACCCTCAACCCTAAACCCCAAGCCCTAAGCCCTAAACCCTAAACCCTAAACCCCAAACCCCAA